TTTTCGTTGCTACTTCATCATTGTCATTTTGCTATTGTTATGAATCAGGCAACCCGTGTGAAAGGTTTGTTCGACCCCCAAAGGAGCCACGACCCACAGGTTGAGAACCACTGGACTAGGGACTCGGTGGGAGCTCGGCAGGGGTGGGAAAGCTTAGGAGAGACCAGGACCATGCTCACACTGGAGGTGGCAGGTCTGTATTAAAAACACCATCACCAACTGTCTCTACTGTAACAAGTCTGACTTTCCATGGCAATTGGGTCCAATATCCGAGGGGACGTCTGTGTGGCCCCAAAGGCAAGTCGACTAGGCTATCTGTTGACTTTGCTTTGAGGTCAATGCCTCCCTGAGCCCTGTGCACTTGAAGCCAGTCAGAGCTCCCTCAGCTGCTTCAATTCCACACTCTCCAGTCCAGAAAGGGGGTTTGTGCTGAGATTTACCCGAGTCTATGCCAACTCACAGGGACCCCAGGGGTGCGGGGTAGCCCTGCTGCGTGGGCTCTTCAAGGCTGCAACCCTTTGGAAGACCACCTGGCCTGCGTTCTGCAGTACCTGTGTTTGCGTTTGAAACTGACAACCCCTGGACCAGTAGAGACACACACGAATGACCACTCCTTCCAGAATCTTCTTCCTCTCCAGCACACAGGCTACTCTCTCAGCGCCAGGACCCTGCTGCTTACTCAGCACAGAACCTTTCTAAATCGGCTCCACCTCCACCCCCACAGACATCTTCTATTCCTAGATGGGGCACAGGGAAAACAAGGATCGTTTTACATTTTGTAAAGACATGAAAGTCCTTAATTTCTGATGTCACTGATGGCTCCCTTCAGTGACTCCATTCCCAGTGAGTAAGTGAAACCTGAAACCAAGGGGGTCCCAGCTCAGGGAGAAGCATCAGCATAAAGATCAGCTTGGCGGAAACTTATGCGTTCTCTGCTTGCATAGAACTGAAGCGCTTGCTTTTTTTTAATCGCCCTCCCCTCCACCCCTTTCTGCCTCATGCATTTTCTGAACATCAGCAAAAAATGAGTTTTGTCATCAGAAAGCTGCTCCAGCCTGGCTTTGAAATTTGGCTGCTGCTACCTCTTGAAATTATGCATCAGGTAAAACTACTTTTGACTTAGAAAAAAAAGGTATTTAGCAAACCCGTAAAGAGAGGCTGAACCGAAGGTCACGATGGCTTGTTAAGAGAGCTAGGTGGCACCCCAATGTCTCATTTGAGCAACAGGAAAACACAACGAGAAACAGTCTGGGAGGCAGCTTCAAACAGCCCCAACAGATCACCGCGTGCCTGCACCTTTCCAATCCCTCCAGTAAAGCAGACCCAGATGCTGAATCCGGGCCCACAGCAAAAGCCCAGCAACAGGCTGAGGGTCACCAGGCCATTCTGGGTCGCGGGATCTTATTTCACACTATGATAGGAATTCATATATCTTGCCCCAGTTTGCTTTCCACGTGGACTGAGTTTTCATATCTGCAGAGAACTCCGGCCG